TTGTGACAAAAGAGGCTGTTGCTTCCCATGTTGGAGGCTTTCTGTCTTATTCTCTCTCCTTCCTATTACTCTAAACTCATTTTGAACATCTAGTTTGACACTGAGTAGAACTATCTACTGACTTATCTTTCGTTTACGATGAAGGATGTTACTCTGAGGTCCTACTTTGAATTCGGGTTGAACTGAGTCCGTCGGCCCTGTTGGAATAGGGAGGTAGCTTAATGTCATTATTCGGTTTTTCTAAGAATAAAGTCTCCCTTGGTCGTGAGCAATTATACTAGGGCAGACGATGGCCTATATAGACTTAGCGAAGGACTTCCATCTACCATTAATAGATATCATTGATATCTCAAACTCCTGCGCATAGGTTTTAATATTAGTGCTTCTACCTCGTTCAAACCTGAGAAGAAGCCAGGACATGAGTGGCCAATAGAACTAGCGCCTAAGTCTCTGTCTTGGGAGTAGATGACCTGAGAAGGCTAGGGAAATATTGAGTCATACGAAGCATCTATAGGTATACTGGTGTAACTGCCTACGACGACGGCCCTATACCTATGCTCACCGCATGACGATTCCGAGACAGTGGCCCGATGTAATTAGGGAGACTCGGCCGAGATGGACCTTGGTTTCGTCGTCCTAGAATGATCGAGCATACTTTCAACTTGACACTTGAAACTTGTACAATTCGGGCTATCTCAATGTGCTATAATGAGTAATATGTATGTCAGGGGGACCTACTTTGAATTCATCCACATGGACCGTTTTGTGTCATAACTGTACGACCCGTGAGCATGCATTGTACGCGCGTGGCCAGCCTCCTCAACTTTGTTCGAAAAGCCTTACGTGGTCAGGTCTAGAAGGATACTCGGGAGGGGATGAGAACAGTTTGAAAGCAGGGAAAAGGGGGGCATGCCAAGTATTCCGTTTGCTTGAAGAACCCAACTACTACAATGCAATATGAGTGAATCACAACCTTTGCGGTATAAGGCACCCCAAGTTTGATTTGCTATCCACACCATGTGATTCTCTCTTCGGACGCTTCTCCCATCCGTCGTTCTTTCGGTCTGACAAGATAAAGACCAGGATTCACGGCAACATCAGAAAGGACAAGAACTGTCTCTCCGCCTAGAAACCCTATTTCTCATCATTGACTAAGATCGCCACTCATGGAGAACAAGAGGCCAAGGTACCATATTGCGTGTGGAGTCGCCGTGACATCTGACCGAGAACTTCAACGCTGAATTAGGTGCTTGATTCTAAGACATGATCTCGACAATAAAACTTTATTCTGGCACTTCGCTGCCTGCGATCCTATATAAACATGTACAAGGAACCAGCCGGAGAGGAATCATAGCAACATTCTTTACACCAATACAGAATCCGCTTCAGAGATAACACTCTCAAGAGAGTAAGAAAACAAGAAAAGGAAACAACTCAAGTCTACTTCACACAGAAAACATCAACATCTATACCTCCCATACATCCACCATGCGATCTTCAAACATCATCGCCCTCACCATCGCCCTCTGCGGCGCCGCCCTCGCAATGCCACCGCCCCCACAGGCCAGGAGTGTCCTACCTGGATGGCGCAGGCACGAAGTTCCCGGGGACCCTGATTGCGCTGCGCTGCAGGATTATTGCAAGTGCTTAGACGGGTATGCTTTGCCTGCATCTCCTTTCCATCTTTCTTCCTCGACGGCCTAGAAGCGCGGACGAGAAAGGGAATAGATAGAGAGAATGAATTATATATTGGCATTATGCTAACTCGCCTTAGCGACTTCGATTGCCAGACCAACCCGAGCTGCGAGTGGTGCCGCGCGCATCATGCCTGGGACCCGACATCATCGGCGTCGCCGTCACCATCACCGTCATCTTCTCCTCCACCTCCGCCTCCGCCTGCACCATCGTCATCATCATCGTCGTCGTCGTCGTCGTCATCAACCCCACCCCCTCCCCCGCCGGCGACAACGACATAGGCTCGCGAATACGCCTTAGCCTTCAGTTTCAGAAAACGGGAAGAAAAGAAAAAAAAAAATCGAGTAAACGTCGAGGGAAGGATGGAATAGGGGCGCGCTGATTTACCACGTACAAGCTTTTAGTCGATGGCATGAGGACATGGTCACGGAGTTAACCCCTTTTCTTCTTCACTATAGCGTGTGAGGGGACTCAGCAGCCGCATCGCAACACTACACCGCGCACCAACATGTCCCATGGGCATCGCATATTTTACCATGTCAACTCCACTCAGGAGATTCCCCAGCTAGTTGTAGCTACTATATCGATGGAATTTCTATACACCGCAATCGAGGCCGGGGTAGAGGGGCCTCGAGTCGCTCACTTATACTATAATACAGAGATTAGATTTATCTCGGCGTATATCTTTCCTTCCTTTTTTTCCGCCGTCTTTCTCCTCCCCAAGTCGAGTCCCTTCCCTTTCCTCCCAAGGACTTTCCTCGGGTGTGTGTGTGTGTGTGACATGAGCAGTATTGTTTTTTTTCTTTAGCCTTAACCACGTGAGTAGTATGTCATCCCAGAATTTGATTGAGCCCGTCCTATGCAAGAATGATGCCGCCGTTTCAGAGTAGAGTTTCGTTCCAGGGTATAGTACCAGTAGTACCTTAATGATGGCTGTCGTCGTAGTCCCGTACAATCAACAACCAAATGGATCATGCGAATGATACAACGCCCACCCCCCCTTTCTAGACGTTCGTTCTTCGTATCATACATCTCCCCACATTACGCGCCTTCTAATGGCCCAACTTATTTCTTGGCCTCGGTGGTGGAATTCTCCGGTTTCGAAGGTATGAACCAGTTCATGAAGGACGACTTCATGCTGCTCATAGCCTCGGCCTGTGCCTTCTCGGTCGCCATCTGTTCCTCCTTGAGCCACTTCTCGCCGTTCTCGCGGATCTCCTTCTCCATTAGCTCGTAGTTGCGCTGGCCTCTCTCTCTTGCAATATCCTGCAACATCTTGCCTTGAGCGAAGGCCTCGCTTGGGCTGATATCGCCTTCGACGGGCACCATCATGCTCATATTGGTTGGCTTCAGACCTAACATATTGCCCAGAGCTCCCATGCCACTCTTTCGCGTTCGCCTCTCGGACTCGAACCGCTTCTGGAATTCGGCACGCGCTATTGCTTCTCGGCGAGCGAACTCGGTGGGGATGTGTTTGCCCTCGAAGGATTTGAGTACTTCTCGTACGTCCTTATACTGCATAGTATGAATGTACTCGAGGAAAGGGATCAATGAAACGAGTTCGGTATCCTTGGGGTCGCCAGTCCACGGCTTAAGGACAATGGCATTCTCAGGCTGGTTTCGGACATGTTCGGGCTTCGTATCGATGATAATGACCTTGGAAAGGTCACGGTTTAAGTACGACAAGTCCTGTGCGCCTTATGTTTTAGTAATTCTGCATAGACATGATATGAGGAAATAGGGGAAAATAATGATCGAAACTCACCTTGACGATTTCACCGTCCTTGTACTTGGTAGCTTCTCTGAACAATGGCCAGACAATGAATCGGAAAGGATCCAACTTTCGAACCAACGGCTCTCCTATGGCGAACGGAACACTAGTAAATAGGACCAATTCGTAGTACTGACTGAGGTAGCGCAGGAAGTAGTCTACACCCGGGCGCTTCGCAACTCTCCAGCCGTGTTCTCGAGTCCATTCGCTGTGTACCAACATATCCTCAAGACTGATGCAAAGAGTGTACGGCCGCTCGAACATGGGATCGGGATCTGGTAGTAGCTTGTCGAAGGCGGGTTCGCTGTAGTAACTCGTAACATCGCCGAATCGAGCCATCATACGCTTCCACCAAAGGGAAAACGACCAGCCATTGGGGATATCGGTATGCGCCTTAGCTTCCTCCTCGTCCCAGTCGCGGCCGAGGTAAGCTAAGCCTACAACGCCGGAGACCAGCGCCAGGACATACATGCGATTGGCAAGCTTGTTCCTCCGCTTCTCCGTCGAACTGACATATGCAGAAGCGGGCAACTCACCCTTCCCGCGTCCACCACCAGCTTGAGTCTCATGCGTGTCCTCAAGTGCGGCAAGGGCCGATTTGTTTGTGGCGCCACTCGTTTCATACTCGAGAGTCGACGGGATGCCGTGGGTGAGATCAGGAAGCTGGCTTAAGTCGGGCTGTTTAGAGGTCGAGGATTCGGCTTCAGCGCCTTGTGAAGGTTGCGCTGATGTGGAAGCAGACTCGGAAGCAGATTTGGGAGTGGACGCCTCGGATTGAGTAGGCTGAGCTGAGCTAGACGGAGGCTGATTAGATTTTGGCTGCTGGCTTGATCCTGCATTTGGCGGCTGGTTTGGAGGTCGGTTTTGAGCCATTGATCGTACCCATATCGGAGTGGCCGGTCTGGATATTCTGGAAAAAGCTGGAGTTGCTATTACTGGTCTTGAGAGCGCAGGTAGTCGCGCAGAGCGCGCGAGAGCTCTCGATAACATGATGGCAGATTATCGACCTTGATATAGGATCTAGCAATGGATAGCGGATGTATACCAAGGTCTCAGCGCCAATCTAGACAATAGTGTAGAATGTAGGCCAGAGGCTCGTCGGTCGAGACTGCGCGGAATGACGAAGATTAGGAAATTTTAGACCGTCCTAAAGCTTGACCCTGTTCAATTCAAAATCATCCTGGTACGATAGAGGAGTCTGTTCAATCTTTTTTTTATCATTGCCGAAGTTTTTCCCAGGCACTACGTAAGAGCTGCAAATGGAAAGCTGGCGGGGATTGGTTCTCGAAGACTCTGTTAGTTCGGTGCTAACTTTGTCCGTAGTACTTGTACACATGTACCCGTGGACCTCTGCAGAGGCCTCGGGACTGGAACCCAAATCACGTCATTCCACTTGAAGATTTTCGAGGACCAAAAGTACTTGAATGAATTCGCGAAAGTACCCCAAAAGAAAAGGAAAAAGAAATAATAATGCAACAGCACAAGTAGGTAATGACAAAAAGAAAAGTGATGATAGTATAAAAGAAAAAAAAGATGACAGGAAGGGGATTCGAACCCCTGCGGATTGCTCCAGAGGAAATCTCTGTGTTTTGTACACGAGACAAGTTGATAACTTGAACCCTCCGCCATAACCACTCGGCCATCCTGCCTATTCGGTGTGATTGGTGATGGTGTAAGTGTTGGTTATTTTACACTATATACCACATGCGCGCTTTGTTGCTAATTTTTGCTTAGCCTTAGTCACCACATGCGTTTTGGCTTGTAGGTAAGCTAATCCTAATCCGGTATGGGACACCCGCCACTTTCAAAGTTCTAATTGTACCCCGCTTACCGAACCGGCCACGTCCCGGTCTGTCCGTCTGCTTGCCGCATCCACCGAATCACCTGGACTATTTCAACCCCACTTAGTCCAAAAGATCATGTCATCAAATCTGCATGTACGTATGTACGTATCTAGGCACTCGGAGCACATGTGCAGTTCAATGTCATTCGTGTAGTGGTGAATGGCGAATGGCGAATGTCCATACTTCCCGACTTCCTTCCTAAACATTCTATTCTAAGAAGCATCAAATAGAATTGACTCAACCTCCCTCCTTCTCCAACTTCTCTCTACCTTTACCACCCATTAGCAAGGTACCAGTTCCTTCTTCCGGTTGTCTTTCTGCCGGTCATCTTCCCCTCCCTTTTCTTTGGGGCAATTGATTCTTTTCCTATTTATCTCGCGTTGCCGACTCTTAGCCTATTCGTCATCTCTACTCTCTTACCGACTTACTGCTCTGATATCCAACATGGCAGCGAAGAGTGCTGCGTTCTAGAGGGTGGTTGTCACTCGTTGAAGTATCGCGATGGCACCACCCTCGGCGATGCCACGTTGTACTGAGATTCAATCAATTGTCCCATATTAACTACGGAACGAATTGCTGCGAGCAATAACTAGAAAATCAGGCCTAGAAGTTACTGTCCTCGACTTTTATAGGGACTTTTATACGCGAACGTTGACTGTTGCGTGGCGCTGAGTCCGCGTTGCGAGTGTCGCCACATCTATATTCTAGGGATCCTGTGCGAATAAACCAGCAATCCCGATTAGACCGACGTATTCAGAATGCGTCGCAAAGCTGTCACAGCGAAGGGATCGAGGACTGTTGGTGCCTCTTCAGGCCCAACTCCTATCTCTTCAGCTTTTACTACGCCACTTAGCTCGGCTTACCCTTCTACCTATGCCTCCGAAGCCGAGTACGATAACAACGATGAAATAGCGAAACTACCAATTGGCGCCCTTTCGCTGGACGGATCGGTGTCGAACCTGCGCAAGCCGAAACGAGAGAAACAGTTGCCTTTCCGATTTCTTGATCTTCCATCCGAATTACGTGTGAAGGTCTACGATTACCATTTTGTCGGCACTGGTGATGTGCTCGACCTCGATCGTGATAACTACAAGAGAATCCACCAGAAGCTAGCTATTTTCCGAGTTTGTCGCACTATATATAGAGAAGCTTCGTACTTCTTTTATAGCACACATCCTGTGCGCATCTTCCCGACGATTCCCGGGCGTTTCTTCAAGACCAAGAAACCTCTCCTGGCTCGTATGAAGCCAAACCAAAGATCGAGCTTGACCTCGCTCGAACTTCGCCTTGGACCGGGCTGGAGTAGTCCACCACGTGGTTGGGTTGTGAATCCCGCATTGGGCCTATCAGACTGCGTCAATGTGAACAAGATCACTGTCTACGTGGAATGCGACCCCGGAAATGACTTCTTTAAGGGTTTCCGTCAACCGGACAACTTCTACGAGCGATTCTCGAAATCTCTACTAATTGGTGTTCTTGATGAAATGCCGTGGGTCCACCGGATCGAGTTCGAGGCATGGCCCAACGTTAAGAAGTCAGGGGCACTCATGCGCGGACTCATTGAAGTCGTCAAGACTCGAGGAATCAAGATTATCTGGGGCAAGGAGAGAGGGTGGACTGATGCGGAAGAAGTAGAACCGGAGCCGGCATTGGATCTCAATGCGCCCCTTCTCATGAATCATGGCAGCCCGGGTATTATGGTGGTTGTGTAACACGAGGCGTATGCATTTTTGCTAGGTTGGAACGTTTTGGACTTCGAACAAGGCAATTGCTAAGGTAGGGAGAGGCCAAAGGCCGATTGGTAGTTTTTTATTATTCGTTAGGTGATGGTCACGGTTCATAGGGTGTACTCACCTCTCACTCTGATATAACGGCCTAAGATGGAAGGGATTTCAACAAGCGACTCATCTCCAACCAGTGCTTTCCTATATGCGGGAACTTGTAGTATATGCTGCTATGGTGATATGCTAGAAATCTCCGAGTTCGGGGTTCCTATAGACTTTTACACATCCAATACAAATCGCATATATGAATTACTTTAATTATATGTTCTAGATTTAGCATCTAAAGAAATCTTAGTAGGGCACATGCGTAGACGAACTTCACACATGGGTCTTTGTTAAAACAACCCCACCAAAAATTTCTATCCACATGCATCCATGCAAGCAACTAAAGCTTGCTTCCAATTTCTTATCAACAAATTCAAACCATAGCTCTCCAAGACGAACAGGACCCCAATCCAAAATCCACTTCCATACACCTCCAGGGTCGTAATACCGAAATCTAATCCCTGCACCACCGAACCGAACCGAACCGAAGATTAGGGAAAGGAAAAGAAGGAGGGAAAAAGAAAAAAAATGCCCCTCGACACATCAACCTACAACCTCGCGCTCCTGCGCATCGACGGGCGCCGCTGGAACGAGCTGCGCCAGCTGCGCGCCCAGATCCGCACCCAAGCCGCCGCCGACGGGTCCGCGTACTTCGAGCTGGGGAACACGAAGGTCATGTGCGTGGTCACGGGCCCCAGCGAGGACAGCAAGCGACGCGGCCAGGCCGCCTCCTCTGCCTCTGCGGCCGGCGGCTCTGCGTCGGGGGGTAATGCCGCGGATATCCTTGTCAGCGTGGTCGTGGGCGGGTTCAGCACCGTGGATAGGAAGAAGAGGGCTAGGAGCGATAAGTACGTTATTTTGCTTGACTTTTCTCTCGAGAGAGAGTTATGCGAAGTGGGATAGATATAGATAGTAAGGCCAGGATGCTAACGCATTTTCTCTCGCAGGCGCATCGTAGAGCTCCAGTTCACCCTCGCCAAATCGCTTGCCGCGGTCCTACACACGCACCTTTTCCCGCGCAGCACCATCTCCCTGTCGCTGCACATCCTCTCGCAAGACGGCTCGCTGCTCGCGTGTCTGATCAACGCCGCGACCCTGGCGCTCATCGATGCCGGCGTGCCTATGACCGACTACCTGGTCGCCTGCACCGCGGGCAGCACGTCCTCGTACGCGGCGGCCGACGAGTCGGCCGACCCGCTTATGGACCTGAACAACCAGGAAGAACAGGAGCTGCCGTACTTGACCATTGGGACCTTGGGGTCGACGGATAAGGTGGCGGTCCTGGTGTGCGAGAGCAGGGTCCAGGTTAGTCGGTTGGAGGGCATGATGGTTACGGCGGCGGATGGGTGTAAGAATATTAGAGAGTATTTGGACTCGGTTGTGAGGGAGAAGGGGAGAAGGATGATCGAGGAGGGTGCGATTGAGAAAGGTGCTAGTATGGCCATGGATATCGATGTCTAGGTTCTGGCCAGGTAATCTTACTTGATGGGGAGAAAGGGCCCAATGGGAAAATGAGGGGAGTTCTGGTCGGCAATAACATAGCATCTGGCAGGCGTTACGGTTCAAGACTTTGACTCATGAGTAAGTCAACTCTTTCAAAAATGAGATTTTGATTCATTATTACATCAATTCAACTATCAGCTGGTATTGTGTTATGCTAACCCTAGATCATCGTCTAGAGCTCTTCGTGCTTTGGTTTCTCCGCCGGAGTGGCTTCAGGAGTCGGTTCTGCGCCCTTCGTCTCAGTTTCGGATTCAGGCTCAACCTCAACCTCTACGGACTCTTCGACCTTTACTTCGACGGTCTCAGCGGGTTTCTTTTCTGCGGTTGTCTCCTCGACAGCCTCACCAATGAGACCCTCTGGCAACTTCTTCTTCTCGCCCTCACTTAGGCGAATAGCATCGATCCAGCTTTCAACGCTCTCGAGGCTGAAGTCACCCTCGTAGTGGCGCCACCAGCCTCTCTTGCCGTTAACAGCGACGATTTCGACGTCACCAGAGAGGCCGAGGCTCTTGAAAACCGAAGTAGTGACCTCGTTATCGGTGTGGACCTCGAAAAAGGGGAAGATGTGGCGCTTTGCCTGAGCATGTTTGAATGCTAACTCGGCTAGACTGGTTAGGGCCTTCTCGGCGGTGTCTCCGTGAGCGGAAGGCACAAAAGCAAGAACGCAGGTATGGGCTTTGCGGTTAAGGCATTCATTGGTCAGCTTGTCGGCCTCTGTGATGGCCGGGATAGGCGGCACAACAACCTCGACTGGCTTTTCGGCAGCCGGAGGTACGTCGGTGGACTCGGCCGATTCTGTCGAGCTGCGTTCGGAGCTGGACTCGGAGGACTTAGAAGAGGCCTTCTTGTCCTTCTTCTCGGACTTCTTCTCAGACTTCTTCTCGCTCTTTCCTTTAGCGGGAGCCGGGTCTGGGTTTGGTTCACCAGCTTGTGAGAGGAACTTGACCATGGCATCTTTCTTCATCTCTCCGTCGTATACTATACTCTCCTTGTCACCTCCCGGCAGTAGGACCAAAGTGGGATAAGACTTGATGCCAAACAACTCATTTGCCTTGGTCTCCTTATCCCGAATTTGCGCAATAGTGATGACGTCAAGGAAATCAATGGCAATACTCTTTAGCAAAGCGCTCGTGGTGCCCTTCTCGGTGAACAAAATAGCCTTAGCCGTCTCATTCTTAGTCGATAGGAAGGAATCAATGTCCTTGTCCGTCACGCGTTTCACATGGTTATTGATCTTTTCGACAACGGCATCTACGATGCCCTTGGCTGTCCGGGGACCGTTGTAATCTTCAACAATCGGTTTTCCCTTCTTACCCGGTCGTACGACCTTGACGGTTGGGAAACCCTTGACGCCCATCGCGCCGCACAGCTGCTTGTTTTCGTCTTCATCACAGTTCACGGCCGCCACACGGGCGAGCCCTTCGAGGTTCTTGGCCGCCTTCTCGTAGGCGGGTTTCAGGTTCTGACAGTGGC